AATTATACTCCTTCCAAACCCCAAACCAGTTACTCACCTTTAAGGAAGATGTAATTCACCGGGACCATGGCTGTGTTCAGGTCAAGGTCCTTGACCAAATCTAGTTTTCCCCTGGGTCCGAATCTTCACATAGTCATTGATGAGCTTTTGGGCGGCAGCGGAGTCCTGGAAGCTGGTGGAGAAGGCCTCAGAGGTGTATAGGACCCTGGCATCTTCCTCAGCTGCTCGCTGACGAACATGGCACTGCCCACGCTCAGCTGCAGCTCGTTGCTGGGTTGGCAGAGGGTTTGCAGGAGGTGCTGGACACCCCGGTAGATTTCGGTGTCAGGGGTCTCTGTGAGGTTGAACTCGAGGCCTTCAAGGATCTCCGTCAGGGTGGTGCTTTGGGCCGCCAGGGATAGGAAGGGCAAGGCGCTGGAGACACTCAGCGGGGAGATGACATTCTTATTGGGCGTCTTTGAAGCCAACTGCTTATAGAGGCTGAGGGTGAAGTCGGTGTTGCTGGAGGCTAATCCGAGTTGTCCACAGGTGTCTCATTGTGTAGGTCCTCCTGGGTGACATTCTGCGGGTCAAGCACGCCCCCCGGGATGCAGTGGACAGTGGGGCAGAGCCCAGCCACCAGGAGCCCCAGAGCCAAGAGGGTCGACATTCCCTCTGTCCTCAACTCTGAAAAACAAAGCCCTTTCAGTGTTGGCGGGCCAGATGGTGCCCCCTTGCCTCCCACTGCCACCCCCATGTGGCCTGTGTTCCAGTCTCTGCTTCTGTTAGTTTCGTGACTTTCTTGGGCAGGCACGCTCGTGGGCACCCAACATGCATGATTACAGTACACTTGAGATAAGTACTGCAGTTGTTGCCATTTTCCCCAGTGGAGGAACCTGGCATGGAGTGGTAAGGGGCTCGCCCACAGTCATCAGGCGGGTGGGGGAGCAGGGAGAGGAGTCCCCTTAGCCTGGCTCCAGACTTCTGGTAGGGAGAAAGCAGTGTGGGCTTCAGAGCCGCAGAGACCTGGACTGGGATTTCCTTTGGGCTACTTGCCCTGCTGTGTGGTGACAAGCAAGTGACTGACCCTCTCTGAGCCTCCATTCCCATCTCTGTACAACACACTGAGTAAGCTCAAGGGAGAGAAACCATGAAGGTGCTGGGCTCATAAGGGATGTTGCAGAGGCGTCTCTCCTCCCATACGCCACCCGCTCTCTGAAACCACCTGCCAGGCCAGAGCTGCGACTCCACGGGGGGAGGGGATGGAGCTATTGCAGGAACGACAGGAGGGAGGGGCAGCCAACAGGGTTACTGACCTTCAGCCCCTGCCTACTAGGGGCCCAGAGTTCAGAATAGAAAAGGTCAGTTTCAGAGGTGGGAGGGGAAGGTGAGGAGGGGAGGTGGGGAGAGGTCGTGGGGAAGGGAGGGCAGTTGAGCTGCTTCCCATCGAGAGGCCAGTGGACACCCCTTCAGACCAGCCTCAGCAGCCGAATTGCCTCAACTGTCTGTTTACTCTTGGGTTAATCAACCCTTTCTTTGGAAGAGTTACACATCCCACCCCCCCCACCTCCGAATTATTTCTGGGGAGAAAGAACTTTGTTTGAGCAAGTTGGCAGGCTGGCTCTGTTTCTGAGCAGCCTGTCTTTTCAGTTGCTGGACAAACACTGCCTGCCTGTCTGTTTGGCTGGGGTCCCCGGAGGGGAGAAGAGCTGAGGGACCATTCCCCTTGGAGACCCCGTTGGCTCTGCCCAGAGGGACCCCCTTCATCATTTCCATCTGCACCTCCCCGTGAAAGCAGTGCCCGGGGCCAGACAAGAGGAGGTGCCCCATGCCCCTCGGGGCAGTTGTGGTCCAGAGGGTCTGGTGTGTGGAGGTACACAGCTATCTAAACTCAGAATCCCAAAGTGTGGGAGCAGAAACAGCGATAGTGGCTCTCGTGGTGTGTCTGCCCTCTGCAGATGTGAAAACTCAGACCCGGAGGGAAGACATGTCTTCAGAGGGCATGGCCTTCGGGGCCAGCACTGGAACCGTCCCCAGCGCTCTGGGACGCCTTTACCAAGCCCCCTGCCACCTCACAGGCTCCAGGCCAAGGCCTAAAACCACAGAAGAAAAATGGGTTCCTTTGGTCATGGGATAGACAGCATCATGGATTACCTGCCTCTGCAGCCAGGTGTCCTCAGCGGATTCTAAAGCCATCGCCTGCCCCAAGTACTGGATTTTCGTGGGCACTGATGCCTATTTATCCATGTGAAGAACTCCTCCCCTTGCTTGGGAAATGTTGGCAGGGACGCCCCAGGGTTCTGTTTTTAGGCTGGAATGTCCAACTATGCATTTTTGGTAACATGAATTTATTAGATCAAGTGGAATAATCCAGTTACAGGAACAGTCCCTAACTTGCTTCTTAAAACAAAACAAAACAAAAAACTACTCTCCCTTTTCATTTTTATCTTTTATTTATGAAATATTCATTGAGGAACATGTGAAAACCCAGAAAATACACAGAAGGGCCCTGGAAAATTGTCCCCCAAATGTCACCCCCCAGCTAACATTTTGTTGTGATTTCTTTTTCAAGTCACTTTCTTTGACATGTTTGTGTATGTGATGCGAATCTTCTTACACACACTCAGATATATTAAAAAAATACAACACTCTTTATTTGCCTGTAGATTGATTTGCATTTTGAGGCACGCCTCCCCCATTCTGAATTTGGGGTGTCAGTCTAAGGACCCCGAGCATAGTGGGGCACAGGTGTTAGGGGCCTCTGGTCCCCGGCACGATCCGTCTGGGAGGCCTCTTCTTCACCCCAGGGCCCTTCACTCGTCATTCGCACTAAGAGCCGTGGGGACATCTCTCTCGAATCCCAGGTCTTTCTTGGGCTCCTGAGAAAACCTTACCCTTGATCCCTCATGGTCACGACCCGCCATCCATGACCACGTCTGACAGACTGTAGGGTGCCACAGAGCACAGTTTGGAAACCACCGGATTACCGGTAAGGGTGTGGCTGGGCATGCCGTGAACCTCGCCAGCTCTGTGGCCTCAGGCAACTGGAAATCCCTCGGGCTTGACCTCTTCGACTCTACAAGTGCAGATAGCGACATTTTCCCGACGGCCACATAAAGGGTCAGTGACCCCATGAATCAATGGTGTTAGAGGGGAGGGGGGAGGGGGGATGGGCTTGCCCGGTGATGGATATTAAGGAGGGCACTTACTGCATGGATCACTGGGTGTTATACAATAACAATGAATCGTGGATCACTACATCGTAAACCAATGACATATTGTATGGGGACTAACAGAACATAATAATTTTTTTTTAAAAAGAAATAGACACTCATTTCTCACAGTTCTGTATTCTGGGAAGTCCCAGGTCAAGATGCAGGCAGGTTTGGTGTCTGGAGAGCACCCATGTCTTAGCCCATCTTTGCCCTTTCACCTCACATGGTGCCAGGGGGCAGGGAGTTTTCCCTGGTGTATAAGGGCACTAATCCCAGCATGAGACTGCACCCTCCTGACCTAAGTGCTTCCTGAAGGCCCCACCTCCTCCTCCCATCACATTAGTGTTTGGTTTCATCATGGGGATGCTAGAGGTCACACTCTGAGCTGATATCAGCAACTGAAGGATCAATTAGTTGTTCTCTGCAGGAGGAAGGTTCCTCCAGTGGACCACTCAGCATGAGGATTCTCATGTACTCACTGGAAGCTTCTGGTCTCTGTGTGCACACAGTGAACACAAGACCTTCAGAACCAGCTGTTGACCTTGGGGAGTGGATAGCTTCCACTGCAGACACTGGGTAAGACTTTGGTCTATTTCTATGATCATTTTATAATTTCAGCTGCTTCCATGGATCATTCGTATTTTGCAAGGGTTCTGACTGCTTTTCCTTAGAATGGCAATTTTTCTCTTTTGTTCTCCAAGTTTTCATATTGTTTAGTAGAATTAGTCATCATACCACATGTTTTTATTATTGTGGCTAGTGCTTGACCTTCATTCGTCCCTTTTCTCCTCAGAGCCCACACAGGGGAAATCTATCAAGATCTCATGGATTTGCCAGCCTTTGATGCAGCTGGGAGATTAATTCCACACAAGCCCCTCCCATGAGCAGGACTCCTTCGCCACCAGTGACCCACAACATACACCCTGAGCCAGTGTACATCCCTGGACCTATCCAAGCATTTGATTTGATGAGAGGTCTGCCCTGTTCTCAGCAGATATGATAATGACGGTGATAAAGATTTATACTCGTGTGTGTGTGTGTTTGTGTGTGTTTGTGTGTGATCATCAGACTCCACATCTACACCACACCTGGAGGGGGGGGGAACCTCTGCTTTCCCATGCTATCAGTAATATTGATGCTGTGAGCATGGTTCAAGCGTGTTCACACCAGGTTTTTTTCTTCCCTTGCTTTGGATTATTGATGCCACTGTAGCCTCCTGTCCAGCATGCACTTTATGCTGCTTCTAACAAGCTTTCACATTAAGCACGGTGGTCCTGTGATGCACAGGGATTGCTGCTGGGACTTCTCTAAGGTTCAGTGGAGGTACGTGGAGATATTTGTAATTTATTCACATTTAGAGACAACAGTAAGCAAGTGTAAGCTACTCTGTGATTTGTGCGTATTAGAATAGTTTTTTTTCCTATTAAAACCAAGTTTCAAATCAGAGAATGAATAGGTAAGCACAGAAACATGTGAACAGGGAATCTCCCTGGGGGAAACAGCTATAAATGGAGAAGAAGGCCCAGACTCTGACAAGAATCCTGCCCATAACCTCCATCTGCACCTGCTCCTGGGGCTTAAAACAGAATTGGGGAGTAGTGTGCACACAGTGGAGGCCGGATCACCTCCTACAGGGAGGTATGTGTCTGGGCTCACACTGACGTCCACTCACTGTGTCAATGGCACAGTAATACACGGCCATGTCCTCGGCTCTCAGGCCGTTCATCTGCAGAGACAGCGTGTTCTTGCTGTTGTCTCTGCAGATGGTGATTTAGCCCTTCACAGAGTCTGCATAGTACGTGCCTCTTCCATCATAGCTAATAGTTGCGACCCAGTGTAGCCCCTTCCCTGGAGGTTAGCGGACCCAGCTCATGCCATAGTCAATGAAAGTGAATCCAGAGGCGGCACAGGAGGGTCTCAGGGACCCTCCAGGCTTCACCAGGTCTCCCACAGACTCCACCAGCTGCACCTCAGAATGGACACCTGTAGACACAAAACATCCTATCAGGAAACTGTCACACAACCACTCTTCTCTCACTCACATACTCTCATACACTCAATGTTTCTTGTTCACCATAAATTACCTTATAAAAGAGCAACAAGGAAAACCCAGCCAAGTGCAAACTCCATGGTGAGTTGTCTGTGTTCTCTCCTGATCTCTGAATGGGAACACCTGGGGAACCCGGGGCTGGTCTCCTGTCCCAGCTGCAAGGGTTGGGGCTCAGCTGGTTTAATCAGCAGACGGAGGGCCCTATTTGCATGTCCTCTGAATATATATTCAACTTGGTATCTATGCTGACAGAGAGGGCAGTGTCCAGAGCAGGTGTAACTGCCGTTGATGTGGTGCTATTCATCACTTTTAAAAAATATCATTTATGTTTGATAACTTTCCAGTGTATATTCTTGGCCTCCATGTACTACTTTCGTTTTACATGTAAACATAAGTCTTGGGGTTTAGGTGTCATGTTCCCCCTTAAGTGATGTGAACCTACACCTAGAATTGTGGAAGGTCTGTGAGTTGTCCAAGAGCATTTATGGGGTGAGAGTGAGCTCCAGGATATAAGTCGGTGCTCCTTCCACAGTACTGTGCTGCATCCCTGACACCCCCCTTGGGACAGAGTGGGCAGGCTCATGAGGAAGGTG